CCGGTTGACGCAGGCCTGGTGCACACCAGCCTCCCTAGGCTGCTCTTCCATTCAGCTTCCCACGTCCAGGTCGGCCATTGACTCTCTGAGGTCAGGTTGGGGATTCAGCCTGCAGGGCAGCTGTGGCGGGCAGATCCTAGGAGGGGTGTGGGGGCTTCAGTTCCTTGGAGACAAGCCCAGGGCCAGCAGATGTGTCCCCTTGTCCCATCCAGCAAACAAGCCTCAAGGGGTGGGTGGTGTTCAGCTCCCTGTCCTCATGGAGTCTCGGTGATTGTGTAGGCCCCAGGACTTGCTGGGGGTCACAGTCTTGTTGCTGCCCCCCGGGTTGATGGTGTAGTCAGAGCCCTGAGCCCCCGGGCCTGAGCCCAGACAGTGGAGACGGGTGGTGGCTATGGGTGTTGGCTACGGGTTTCATTCTGTGTCTTCTGGTCTAGAGACTTCTGCATTCAAAGGCTGCTCATTGCCTTGGCCTTGTTTAGTGAGCTATGATGAAGACACCCTAAAGGAGGAAACTCAGACTCAGATCTTTGCTTCCAGTCCTTCCTAGACATTAACTAACTGGATCTCTCAAAGTTTTCTCAAGTTAAAGAACCATAATTTCTGTTTGTAAATGTACAGCAGTTCTCCTGTGGATTCTTAAGTAACAGCAAGAATGTTACGTTCCAGATGATTGGCATGACAGCATCAAGCCAGATCCTGGCCACAGAGTTACAACTTCTGCAGAATGTTACAAGAAAAAGCAATGAACAATGGGAAACCATTGGATTGTACTGCAGGGATTTGCAAAATCGGGTTAATAATTTTCATGTTAGCTTGGGATTACCATAGTAAGGTACATAATATTTTTTGTCTCACTGTTGAGTGCCTAGCTCAAAAGGAATCTGTTTTTTAACGTGAGTTATTTGAAAGGAACACACCTGTCTCTCCCATCACCTCATTTTTGTGTAGGAATTGGAAACTGAATGTCTTCATTTCCTTTGGAGTCTTATCCGGGGTCCGTGAAGTAGAGTTGGTCTTTCTTGCATTTTATAGGTGGGAATACAGAGACATAAATGAGAAGCAACAAACTTCGCCTCTGAGCCAAGGACGGTACTTTACCAGGCAACTTCTATTGAGAATATCAAGCATCAAGCAGCACATTCTGTACGGTGCATTAAATGCCTTACTTTAGATTTGGTTTTTGCAACACTGAGTGCTTATTTAGGGAGGCGAAATTAAACTGCTGTGTCATCTATGGGGCTAGAACAGAATCAGGAAAATTCAATGAGCTACCAGCTTTTCTTTCTAATTTATAGTTTTTTCTTTGCCTGTTAATAATAAGTTATTTAAATAGCTGTTTTGTACACTGATTTCTGTAGTGACAATCCTTACAAGCAGTAACCTTAAAGGACTCAAAGCAGATGAAACCAGTCCTTAAAGCAGCTACCCAGAAAATCACTGAAGGCACAAGAGGAGTTATACTGATCTCTCAGAATTGTCAGTGTTTGAAATGCTCAGATTCTTCACATCCTAAAAAAGAGAGTGAAGAAAATGTCCCGGGCCAAGGTGCTTTGATTTTCCAGGCCTTTCTGGAACCTGGGGAAACCAGGCGAGGAGGTTGGAGTTACAGCCTGTGGGGAAGAGCTAGGCGCATGCTGACGAGAGCAGTGTACCGCTTCTGGCCACTTTTTCGTGGTGAGGTGGAGCTTGGCGGGCTTGGCCTCTCCTGCCGCATCTGTCGGGTTTCATAGCCAGCGTGAGGTGGCTCCTTGGGAACCAGGAGGATCCAGGCCCTTGGCCGACTTCTAGCTGAACTGGGAACCTCCAGCCTGCAGGAAGCCTTGGCACCTGGGGTAGGACCGAAGGTTGGTGCTGTGGAGGGGCCGGGCCTGGGTCCCTTGGACCCAGAGGGTAGCAATTGAAAGCTCCACCCACTCTTCCCGTTTCCACAATGGGGGAAGCAAGGGGCTTCCTGTGTCCAGACTGGAGTCTGTGCAAACAGAGGCCAGATGTGCGACAGCAAAGAGGATCAGTGTCCTTGCCTGCCAGTGCTCTGGAAGCGGATGTTTTCTGAACGTCCCTCGCCGCCTCAGGACATAATGCACACCTCCAGCTCTGCCACCGGGTGGGCTCTGTGTGTCCCCGTATGGGACCTTTTCCTTCCTCCTGTGATTTAGTGCTCTTTTGTCCTGTAGAGATTTTGTGGGCTCCCATCTCATCAAAGTAAGAAAATCTTAGAAAAATTTAAAATTAAGAAAAAATTAAAATCCTTCCCATTCGTGGTTATGCTGAAATGATAGGACTATGGTTAATAAACTCCCCACATACAGTAGTCCCTCAAGTTACGACCGGCCTGAGATACGAACGACTTGGGTTACAACCCAAATTTTAGTTTTAGCTTACCACCAAAGTCTTGAGTTACAATCTGAATGCTGGCCACTGTGCTTCCCAGATGGTCTCAAATGCAGACTGAATCCTTAAAGAGCTTTGGAAGGAACAGGACAGCATCCTCTCCCGTGTGGGGTTCATGGAGAAATCCTGGGCCGGGCTCTCTCTAAGGACCCTGAGCTCTGCCTGTGTACAGGAGAGAGACTCTGAAGGCTGTGTACAGGAGCCTGAGCCTTCACTGACCAACTTGAGTTACAACCAGCCCTCGGGAACAGATTGAGTTCATAAGTCAAGGGCCCACTGTATATGGTAAATCAACAAATAGCTGTAATGAGGTGTAGCTGGGTAGTACTGGAATCAAGCATTAGACATCAATAAACCTTTATAAACTGGTGTGCATGTATTTTCCCATGAGCTGACATCTCATTATACGGTGTGTAAGTGTCCACCATACTCTCTGCATCAGTTTGGTAGTGGGCTCTCATAAAGTTCTAATCGTCTGAGCATTACCAGAGAATAGTTACATGGGAGATGGGAGACATTTGGGGGGGCTTTAGATCCTTTTCTAAAGTGGTAATCCAGTAACTAGGATAATTTCCTTTCTCTGTGTTCAGCTTTGGAGACTGTGTAGTATCTGTCTCAGAGCCACAGCTTTGCCACTTCAGCAAGAAACTGTGCATAGGGCCCGGGATTTAGCTCAGTGGCTCAGCCTCCTGCCTTGCAAACGCAAGGTCCTGAGTTCGATCCCCGGTACCAAAAAAAAAAAAACTTAGAATCATTTGGGCTGGGGATTTAGCTCAGTGGTTTCGCCGCCTGCTGCGCAAGCGAAAGGACCTGAGTTCGATCCCTGGTACCAAAAAAAACAAAACCAAACAGAAACTGTGCATAGATGTCCCGCACAGCTGGCTGTGTGCCAATAAACTGCCCGATGGAGCTGAAATCTGAATCACATTCTCATTTCCACGTGTCTCAAAAAATGCTTTTGCCAGGCACAGTGCCATGAACCTCTAGCCCCAGCTGCTCAGGAGGCTGAAGCAGGAAAATAGCTTGAGCCCTGGGCCCCCATGCTTTGTGCCTCTTGGCAGAGAGGAGGACTGTGGCTGTTTACGCACAGTGGCCAAGAGACTGGGCCACCAGTGACCGCGTGAGTTTGGGGACCGGGTCTGGAGTCCCACCCTCGGGGCACCCTGGATCCACAGGCCCTTCCTCGAGTTCCCAGAAACTCGGCTCACGGCACACACGGAACGGAGAAGCCCCTTGCGGAGATCCTCGAGTGGGCCCTGGTGGTTATCTTCACCGACGTGGCACTGTGCAGCCCTTGCGCAGCCGTTCTCTCAGAGGGAGCCAGCTGAGGATCAGGGAGCAGAGGGGCCTGTGGCCCAGAGGACCTTGAGCTCCTCCTCCGTGGCGTTAGTAAGATGGCTTATTCAGTGCTCCTGCCGTCACTCTGCAGGAGGAAGAAAGGCAGCCTCAGGCCAGTCGTGCCCTGTGCTCCACTCCGAGGGCACTTGGCACAGACCGTCAGTGGGCCACAACCTAAGGACACTACCCTGGAGCCACCGTCCCTGCAAGGAAAGACAGGGCGACAAGAGGAAAGTGACAGACAGAGCTGTTTAACCGGAGTTCAGCATGCAGGAGTCCTGCGGCCGGAAGGAGAGAGGCTGAGCTCGGTCCTGCAGCCAGTTCTGGGGGAGAGCAGCCCCAGTTCCCGGGAGCCCTGGAGAGGAGGAATTAGAGCTCCTGGGACTCGTTCCGGGAGCAGGAGCGGTAAACAGGCGGAGGGACAGAGTCCGGCACAGGTCCCACACTGCTCAGGGTCCTTCCCAGTTTCCTTTCTTTGAACCTGTGCACCACGTCTGGGCGCCATGTTGTGGGCTATCACTTTCTGAACCCCCAGGAAACCATTACTTGCCATTAGTAAACTCCTGTACTGTTACTTAGATGAGTTTTGTTAAATTCGTAGCATAATCGTTATACAAGAAAGGAAAAAGTCAGGATTAGGGATCAGCCTACCCTGGCACAGTCAAGAGGGACGACTGTATACATTTGTCCAAGAGGCGAATCTGCAGCACACACGTGGGGTCAGCTTTTAGCAGGAAGATGCCCAGCCATGCCTGCCTGGAAGGAGCGGGCTTGCCTCTCACATTCCTTTTTGGGTGTTTCCTCTGGTTTTCTGAGGCAAGGCCTCGCTTTATAGTTTAGGCTGGGCTTGAACTCACTGTGTTGCGGCAGGGTGGCCTCAAACTCGTGGCAGTCCTCCTGCCTCAGCCTCCTCATGCTGGGATTCCAGACGTGCACCACCATGCCCGGTCAACATTCCTAATGCTAAGGAATGGAGTGGGAGAGGTGAAAGTTCTTTTTAGTTGGTACTCTGTAATCCAACAGTTACCTTATAGAAACTAAGAACTAAAGTCAGATTCCGAAACCTAGTTCCTGTGATTAAGAATTCTGCGTTGCTCTCAATATTCCCTTATCGGTTTCAGTTTATTTTCAGCGGCGCGGGAGAATGCAAAACCGTTCCCTGTGGTTCCTGCACTTCAGCTTTTGCTGTGTGATCCGTCTGTAATTTTCGGGCTTTCCGTTGCAGCCTCGGATTCGGTTACAGCTTGAGAGCGTGACACTGGGCTGAGACGCCCGCCTCACCTTCCGTGGCGCTGGTGGAGATGGTGAGGCGGGTGCATCTCTTCTCAGGGTCGCTTGTGCGGGAGGCAGCAGCAGGCACAGCCGGAGCCGGCTTAGCCGCGCGGAAGCAGCGGTGTGGCTCACTGAAAGGCAGGCATTCGCTGTTCACTCTCGGGGCCGCCTGTGCTTTGAGGGTGGCCAAGGGGTCCTCTAGGTACTTCCGCCCATTGGCTTCTGTCAGCACTGAACGTGCGGCAGTGAAGAAAACGGGTTGTGCAGACCGTGTCCCCTGTGAGGTGTCGCACGCGTGTGCCGAGGAGAAGCTGTGCACTCTGAGGTCGCCTCACACGTGGGACACTCGTCCACGCCTGTGCTCTCCGTCACCACCCAGCCGCTGTGCTGGTTTCCTGCGGTGCCCAGAACCCACCGGGCAGAAGAGCTGCCGGGCTCGGGGCTCAGGAGGGCTCCTGACCGCTCCTCAAAACGGATCCTTTTCCCAGAAGTGTGTGAGCGGTCCGTGTTTGGAAGGAAGCGCGGCTGGAGAAGCGGGGCCCACCGCCACGGCGCCCCATAGTGGGAGGAGGTGGCCACGCAGGCTTCTCCTCTCCCCCTTCCGGTGGCTGCGTGCGCACGTGCGTCCTTGGCGCCCCTTGTCTTTGTGCGGCCTCCCTCGTCGTCCGGCTGTGTCTGTGTGTTTCCAAGTGTCCCTTCTCTTCTCTCTTAGGAAGAAATCAGGCATTGGATTGAGGCCCCAGGGCCCCCTTCAAGGTCAAAACCCAATGACAGCTTCCTCCCTGCAGGCCCCGCCTCTTAACTTCCCAGCAGCGCCTGGGCAGCGAGCCTTGGGCATATGCCACACCCAGCCCACAGCCACAGTGTTTCTCCGAGCAGAGCCCACCCGAACTGTCCTGCCCCAACCCGGGCACCGGTGTGACCCGGAGTGCATTCCCCCACCCCCTCCCTCTGCCTCCCGGTGCCCGCAGGGAGGTGAGCACCACTCCCCACCCGCCCACCTCGGCCCTTCCCCCGTGTCCTTTCGGCCTGGAGCCTGCCATCCTGGGACTCACCTGGGAGACAAACTAACCTCTCTTCCTTTAGGTTCTGAGTGTCAGGTGTCCTGTCTCAAGGACAAGAAAGTGGCGGCAACACTACCCAGCTCACAGGGTCCTACGCTTGGGCCGGGGCCAGCCACAGCCCCTTCTCTGGAACAAACAGGAGCTTTGCAGTCTTGCTGGCGCCTCCTTCTCCTTGCCCTGACCCAGCTCCCTCTCTCATTTCTGCCCCTTCACAGGGCGCAACCTGGCACCGTGATGTGGTTGAGTGGCTCAGTCCCACTGTTACAGGCAGCTGGGATTCCTTCTTTAAGGGTGGGAGCTGTGAGGGGCCTTGGAAAGTCAGTCCTGAACCCGGACCAGCACTCCCGCCAGGGGCCTGCCCCAGCACCTGGCACCTCCGAGGAGCCACACAGAATTCTCTGGGGATGCCTAGGGGAGGGAAGGAGGGGCTCAGCCCAAATCAGTGGTGCCTGAGACAGAAGCATGTTCCCGGGAGGGAGCGGGGACTGGCCAAAAACTGATGGGCCCAGGCCAGTCTTTAAGGAATGCCCAGTCCCAGTGGCCATGGGCAGCATCAGCAAGGCCGCGGGAGGGGCTAGCAAGCCCACAGTAGCGTTTTGACGTGATGGCCGCAGCTTTGAGGCTACATACGTAAAGCTCTGGCAAAGATTAAAAGTCAGCGTCCGAGCTACGTTTCCTACATGGTGCACTGTATAAACTCGCATCCAGTAACCATTTTAAAGGCTGCATGTATGAGTGTGAGTACTTGTGTGCTCAGGACATTTGAGCTTGATGATTTTCTTGTGCAAAAGATAAAGCCAGATGCCGGAATGGTCACCGCAGATTTGCGTCGGCGATATATGCCTGCCTGCGGGAGAGAAAGAGCCTTGTGAATTGCAGAGATCCCTGGGCCTGTGGCAGGGTAACAGAGAGCAGAGAGAGGGATCCGGGCTGGCAGCATGAAGGGAGTGCAGCATTACATCATGGCAGGCTTTCCAAAGGCCCAGTCGCTCTCCTGGAAGCTCAGCCCTGGTACAGAGCAGGGCACCCCTCTGGGTCACCAGCATCACGTCCGAAGAACACAGCAGGCATTTTTTTCCCTTCCCGCTATAGATTCCATGCCGGAAGCACATGTTCAGGGTCTCTGGAGGCCAGAGATGAGTCTTCACTCTCAGAGCAAAGTTCACAACAATAAATGCGCGCCTCAGACAAGGGCAGCCCAAGCCAGAGGGTCTGCGGTGAATCGCAGAGGTCACAGAGGAGCGAGTGGACCGTGTGCTCAGGGAGGGACAGAGAGGCGAGGCGGTGGCTCCTGAGCTGAGGTTCTGTGGACAAGCAGGCCTGGCCCGTGGAGGGACGGGGAGAGATCGGCTTTGTGGAGTTCGGCAAGGAACAACAGAAGCAAGAAGCAGCCCAGGTCCTGAGCTTGTGGCAGGGGTGGGACTGAAAAGAGGACGTGTGTGAACCCTGCAGACTCTGCCCAGTTTGGGGTTACTCTAAGGAACTGAAACTGCCTCACAGGAAGTACAGCAGTACCTGCCAGACAGTGGTTTCAGGGTCCTTTTTAGTGTTTTCCGTGTTTTGAAAATCAGACATGACTAATAGCTCTGGAAACAAAGGCAAAGAGCAGTCTGTTGTTCACACACACCCCTCCCACCACATCCCAAAGGGAACTTAATCTCCCGGCTGACATTTCCTCCTCCAGCCTCCGCTCCAGCTTCCGGAGCGCACTGAGCGCTGAGGTTAGCAGCCTCTGAGGGAGGAGGGTCTGTCTTGGCTCCCAGTCCAGGAGCTTCCAGTGCCCCACCATCCGCCCCTTTGCTTTGGGCGAGGCCTCGCCCCAGCGTGGAACCAGGTGTGTCACCTCAGGGTGAGCCAGGGAGAGAGAGGGTGCCCACAGTCCCTGGGAGGCACCCCAGCAACCTGGAACCTCCCAGTGAAGGACCCAGGAGGCCACACAGCAGGAAGCTGGGGACCCGGCCCAGGTGCAAGGGCCTTTGAGAGGCGGAGCGCTCTGTCAGAGCATAGCTTGGTTTTGACCTGCAAATGCTCTGGCTCCTCCTGAGTGGCACTCCCTCCCTCGGAGCAGTCTGTTGTTAGAATTCCACAGTGGCTGTGTCTCCAGGAATCCTGATTGTCACTGTGACGATTCTGCCGTGATGCCATGTTTTATTCCTGGACTGCTTCTTCCCAGAAGGTTCCTGTCCTCCCTGGTTGAGCTTTCATACTTGTGACTCTCCACCAATGCCTGGTGATGTTTTCTCCTCCTAGCTCCCATTCAGCGACAGAGGACCTGTGCTCCTACTCTACTGAGGGTTGGCAATCCCTTCTCCCCAGCTGTGGAGACCAGGAGTCTGAAGTCAAGGTGTGGGCAGCCTTGGGATCTTCTCGGTGGCCGGGGTCCTGCCTGCTCCTCCAGCTCCTGGGTCCTCCCGGACCCGGCTCTGTTCTCAGCCTGCACCTTCACAGGGCTCCTCTGCACTGTCTGTGCTGTGTGGTCTTGTGGTCAGGTTCAGGGCCACGCCCATCCGGGGCGGTCTCCTCGAGACCCTCCGGGCCGTCCTGTTCAGACGTGTCAGGCATTGCATTGCGAGGGGGACTGTTCTGAGGGGCCACCATTCAGCCCTGCAGCCCATCACGCAGCTTCTCACCCTGACGGCCTGGTGTCGCTGACCCGCCCCCTAGAAAGCCATCTTCTGAGCAAGGCAGCATTCTGCCAGAACTCCTTGCCTGTGGGGAGTGTGCACAGAGGGCCTGCCGCTGTCCCCGCAGGGTATGATAGGTGGAGGGTGAGTGCGCAGGGACCCTGAGTATCTTGGTATATGGAGTCCCAGGACAGGGCAGGTATGCTTTGCTTCCGCCTGGAGGGAGGTATCTCAGCCCTGAGCTACTGGGGCCCTGACCTATACACCCACCCCACCTCCGTGTGTATCCCCAGGGCAAGCCTCAGGCTCTCCAGTCAGCTCTCAGTCTTCCCTGCATTTTCTCCTCCTCTAATCCACTTTAATCACACATCCCTGATCCCTCCCATCTTGGATCTCCAGGACGAAGTAAAATCAAAGCATTCTGCCCAGCTAAGCTGCTGATTCTTCACCTTCCCGTTCCTTTCCCAGGAGGTTGATCCTGGGAGAGCAATGGATATCTGCCCTTCCTTAAGCAGGCTTATGCCTGCCAAGAGCTCAGAGCCTTTTGCTGCATTCCATGTATATACTTAATTAACGGCTTCTCTCTAGGTCAGGGCTCCATTGCCCTTTCCACAACCCTTTTACTTCTCAGGAAGAGGGACCGAGTAAGATCAGCTGCTGTGCAGGGTGCTCTGGAAAGCAAAGCTTTTGTTTGTGTTTTTTGTTTTTGCAGTACCGGGGACTGAACTCAGGACCTTGTGCCTGCAAGGCAGGCACAGTGCCACTGAGCTACATCCCCGGCCCAGCAAAGCTCTTGAGAGAATCAGCCAGTTGCACGTGGTGCCAGGCTCGCCTATTCCTGACTTGTGCTGCTGGCCCTCACCTTCCCAGGCTCCCTGCACACAGGCAGAGTGCTCGCACTCACCTACCTCACCTCCCGGGAGCTCTCTGTGGGGCTCTGGGGGCCAGAGCGAGGCCGGGGACTCGGGTGGCAGTATGACCAGCATCATGTGAGGCTGTGTCTTCACGCAGGTCCCTGACATGCAGCAGGGTCTTGGCAGCCCGTGCCAGTTTCTGGACAGTCACCCACAAACACTGCTGCTTCCTCCCGTCAGTAAAAACAAACACGGGTACTCTACAGCGCGTAAGCCCACTCACATTTGTTCACGGTTGGCCGCCCCTGCTGAGACTTTGCATTAGACACCTAGCAAAATAGTCACAGATGCCAAAAGGTGACAAGAGTTAGCTATCACACAACCAATGATCTTTTAAAAGTTAATAGCACCAAAGAACTTAGCAAAAATTTGCTTTTTATGCTGTGTCTTCGAGTGAGTGATGTGTTTATGCTCCATTGTTTTTTAAACTATTTGGATTAAAAGTGTTTGAGATAGTAGTTTTTAAATCTCCCTGCAAAAGCAAATAACTTTGCTCTGCAGCATCTGTTACCATGTGTGTCCAGACATCCCTCATTGGCTGTCCCTTGCTACGCCGTTCTTCCCGTCTCTCCGTCGCTTAGTTTAAGATTGTATTGAAATTTTGCCTCTACTTTCACTGTTCCCTGATCTCAGCCAGCGGCTGTTGCAAGCTGTTTAACGTCGTGGCACAGAAGCCCATCAGGATGGGGTCCTTTCTGCACCGGCTGGGTACCCCTGTCACGTGAAGGTGTGTGGGTGAGCGCTCTTACACAGTGAATGCATTGCTGGTTTTCTGGATTTTGTCAGGGAAGTACAGCCCGTATATCAGCTTCCGCAAGTGCACCATCTAGTTTCCTGAAAGTTTCTTAGAACTCCTGTTATTTATTTCTTGAGTGTTTGGTAAATTAACCAAAGAGAACACCTGATCCTAGATATGAGCAAGTTTTTAACTACAAATACAGTTCTTTCACACATAGGGGCTTGTTCAGCTTCTTAGTACGCCGAGCTTCATATCTTTCAGAGAATTAGTCCATTTCATCTAAGTTGTCACACTTATTGAATCGTCCATGATTTCTTTATCCTTTGAATGATTTTAGGATCAGTAGATTGCCCCATTTCATTATTTATATTGATAAATTTAGATCTTTCTTTTTTTCCTGGGTAGTCCAGCTACACATGCAGTCTCTCAATTGATTTTTTCCAAGAGCCAGCTTTTACCTTGATTGGCTTTCCGTATTCCGTTTCTATTGGTTTTTTGTTCCTTCTATTTTTATTCCCTTTTTGCTTTGATTTGCTCTTTTCGTATGACTTTCCTAAGGAGGAAAGCCAGCTCTTCACTGATCTTCTCCTTATTTTTTCCTATGACAATACAGACCACTGCGTTGAGACCCTCCTGTTCTCTAATCTGGCACTGAGTACTGTCTGCTTCCCCACTCCAGTTCCATCCTGCAGACCCTCATGTGCTCCTGTTCTGCACTCAGAATTAGCAAATTTCATTTTGTGGTTTCATCTTTGACCCATGTCTTCCACAGAAATGTGCTGTTTAACATCCAGATATTTGTGGTTTCCCAAATACTTTTCCGTTATAGATATCAAATGTTACTCTCTTTTAGTCAGAGAACATATTCTGGAAGGAAAGTAGGAAGAGAGGGAGGGAAGGCAGGCAGGCAGGATTGGAGGGAGGCAGGGAAGGCAGGTGCCTGGGGCACGGAGGTGTGGAGGTGTGCTCACCTGTGCTGAGCAGGAAGCAGAGAGAGAGCTGGAGGGAGCAGGTTCCACTGTGCCCTTCCGGGGCGCCTGTCCACTCCCTTCCTCCCCGGAGGCCCACCAGATCCGCATGCCCTGCCCTGGGGACTGGTGACACCAGGAGGGCCCTGGGGACGGGACTCCTGCAGGCTGGGTCCCTGCAGCACGGCCCCTGGCCTGGCGGGTGTCCCTGGGCCCTGTGCACGTTCCGAGGTCTTTCCTCCTCCTCCTCCTCCTCCTCCTCCCTAGGCGTGGAAAGGCTCATCCGCCACCTGCGCCAGCACCGCGTGCCCTGCGCCGTGGCCACCAGCTCTGGGAGCGCGTCCTTCGAGATGAAGACGAGCCAGCACCGGGAGCTCTTCGGGCTGTTCAGCCACGTGGTGCTGGGAGACGACCCGGAGGTGCAGAGCGGGAAGCCTGCGCCGGACATCTTCCTGGCGTGCGCCAAGCGCTTCTGTCCGCCTCCGGCCCTGGGACAGGTGAGTGGGTGCCGGTCGCACAACCTGCGCCTTCCCGCGGGGCCCTCTCCTCCTCTTGTCTCCGTCCCCGGGGGAGCTTCTGCCTGTGGACGAGGGCGAGGCTGGGTCCCGGAGGCCAGGCGAGTTCGAGTTCGGGAAAGCGCTTCTCCGCTCTGCTCCAGCCAGCCCCGCCGGTGAGGGGGGAAGGCCGAGAAGGCCAGAGCCCTGCGCCTTCCTGGGTGCCCTGCGCTTCCCCCTGCTTCTTGTCTGAGACCCTCAGGCACGTGCTCCGGGCTTCGCATTTGGTGGCACCGGCGTGTCCACTGCAGTCCCTTGAAGCGACGCACGAGGGCAGGAAGCCGCTGGAGTCCCCGGCCTGCCATGGAGGAAAAGACACAGGATGCCCGCCCTGCCCAGATGCATGGCCAGGCGTGGCGCTGGGCGCGGAGCGGCCTGGCGCTGTGCAGCTCCCCGCCGTGGGCCACCTCGGGGTCGTGGTGCCCTGTGACTGAGGCGTGCGGGACGGAGTGGCTGACCGGCCCCTGTCCTCTCTGCGCACACTGGGGCTCGCGGGAGCATGGGGCGGAGCGCCTCCAACCTCCAGTGACCTGACCGGCAGACGCCATCGCGCTGCTCCCCCAGCTCCCTGGCATCCGCTCCGCTCAGGTCCGAGCAGAAAGGGCTTGCTGGGAAGGCGCGTGGAAATTCCAGCACTGCAGGACCCGCGCGCTAGGATGGCGGGAGCAGGCGGAACGTGTGTGTCTTTCGTGGTGCTGGTGCTGGTGCTGGTGCCGGTGCCGAGGCCGGAAGGGTCGCTGAGCAGCAGGGCTGCGTTCACAGCACCGCACACCTACCTGGGCAGGTGCAGGTGCGTGCGGGGCTAGGCTGGCTTGGATGAGCCTGGCGCTCCAGGGCGTAAGCCCGCCCTCCTCCCTCCCTCCTGGCCAGGGAGTCAGAGCAGGACCCCAGCCCCAGCCGCTGCCCCAGGGCCCTGCTGCACATTGTGCCTCCCCTCCCAGGTCATCTCTCCGGCTGGGCGCCCTGTGTGTGTTGTGCCCCAGGCCTTTCCCCGGGTTAAATAATGACTGCCTCATCTGCAGTCCTAACATAACCTCTTCCTCCCTTTCTGTTGGGCAAGAGTCTGCTGTGAAAGTGTTCAAGAAGCAGGAGCAAGGTGCCGCCCTGCCCAAAGCATTTCTCAGCGAAATGAGGGTCCGCTCCAGGCGGAGCTGCCTCGCAAGGCACCATGCTATAGAAATGGCCGTGTCAGCCTTACTGATGCCTTCAGGGGGACAGAGTGACTCCGAGCCGCAAGCCAGGTTTGCCTGAGACCAAGTCAGGTCGCCTCACAGCTGTGGCTCGGCAAGGCGTCTCTTTGCAGACGCAGGCCTGCAGGGTGCCCGCCTCCCCACCCTCTCCGCGTCGGTGTGGCCTTCGGTGTCATTATTAGCTTTTTGCGGGGCCTTGCCCACCCTGGGCATGCGCCCGACCTCTGAGCTACAAACCCGAAGCCTGGCAGTGTTTGTTTTAGCTGTTGCCTATTTTCACCGTCACGTACCTATGGGAGAGCTAGTTCCCCACAGTACCCTGCCTGGAATCTGCGTTCACTGCTGGGAGTGCTCATCTCGCAGAAGTACACCTTCTCATGCTTCCTCAGCTGAGGCACGGGCGGGCGCTTCGAGAGCTTTCTCCCCCATCCTGTGCCGTGCAGGCTGAGGTAGGAGAGGAAGGTTGGAACCCTCCCCTCTTCCTGCACTGCCCCAGACTGCGCGCCTGGCTTTGGCCCGGGTGAGACATGCAGCCCTGGTGGAGGCCCTGGCTGAACACAGCCGAGTTCTCAGGTTCTGTCTGTCCGCTTCCTCCCAGAGGACAAAGGTTCGGCCTCACCCCTTGCAACTGATGATACTGCAGGAAGCACCGAGTTAGGTAGGTAGAGTCACAGTCACAGCAGAAGGTGGTGTGAAACGCGCGGTAGCACCAGGAAGCTAGGGTTGCACTACCATGTTACAGAGGGAAAGCGAGGAACAGAGCCGCCCTTCCGTTGTTCTCTGGGACCGTGGTCTTTTATGAGCAGCTCTTTTCTTTGTGTTTAAAAGTGACTTTGAAAAGCCCAAGAAAGGCTTCCGGCAGAAGTGTCCAAGCCGCTCCGGCTGCCCCGAGCAGACCTGCAGGGGACAGGGAGCCAGGGTTCCACTGCCAGGAGAGACTGCAAGCTAGGTGTGGGTCCCCAAAATGCGCATCGGCGCTGTGAAATGAAGTGTACACAGGGCCTCTTTGGGTTCGGCAGATACTGCGAGTGAAACAGGAAATGCGCTGTTTGTAAAGCTCTTCTATAACAACTTAGCGCACGGTAGTTTTCGGTATTGTTTTCAGGAGGAGCCGAGTTTCAAGGATTTTATTGTTATCTTCTTGTCATTGTGTTAACTTTTGTTTTTATTCATTCTGTATTCAAGAAATGCCTGCACTTGAGGCTTTTCTTTTCCTCACATTGAGAGTAACTCAGAAAGTCGTGACTGTGCTGAGCAGGAGAGTGCTGGTTCTCTGCACCCGAGGGCCTCCCTGTGGCCCTCAGTGCCAGTATGTCCCGCTACATTCACACAGAGGTTCCACAACCAATCCCAGAACTCATCTGCTCCCAGGACTCTCTCCTAAGCGCCGCTCCTGACGGCTCACCTGGATGAGAAGGGCGCTTGCCAGAAGTTCCGTACTATCTGGGCAAGTGAGTATGTGCCTTTGGGGCGTCACCCTTTGTACCTACCTCAGTAGCTTCTCGCCACTTCCTGCGGAGAACAGGAAGTGTGAGTCCAAACAGGTCTTCCTGTCACCTCTGTGTGCACCTGTGCCTGCTCCCTCCCGAGGGGAACCTCCCCAGGGTCTCCTGCCAGCCTGGGTTTTCCGTGTAGCAGGCATCACTTTGTGTAAACGCCAGGCTTGAAGCTGCCACCCAGCCAACTTGGGGTTGGTAAACAAGGGACTCGGGCACAGTGTATCGGCGTTTCTTTGAATCCTGCACATCTGTCGATGACCAGGGCCCGCCCTGACATCCCATGCATGAGGACAGGCTGTTCTGTCACTGGGCCTGAGTAAACCCAGCTCGGGGAGGGGCCTCTGCTATGTGTGCCCAAGGAGCACAGATCCCCCACCCTGGCCGGAGTCCTGGAGGTGTCTTGAGGCCCTGGGTGCAGCAGGGCTCTGGAGGGACAGAGCATGGTGAGGTGTGACTGAGCAGGACAAGCGCAACAGAGGAGTGGAGGGCCATGGCAGCACTGCGGATAGGCTGTGCAGACCGGAAGTGCGGGTGTGGCCTCAGGGGGACTTGGAGCTCAGGGAAGAGCTCGGCAGGTTGCAAGACGTGTCCCAGTGTCCACGCCGGAGAGTGCGTGGCTTTTCTGATACGGACAGTCATTTTAAAATCCCCCAGCACTTGGCTGCCTGGTCAGCCTGATCCTTCACTGCCTGTGTGCATGGTTTATCGGAAGTCAGTTGTTCGGTGATACAAAAAAGAACAGTGCCATTTTTAAAAATAAAAGCTTTGCAACCTAAGTGTTGCTATTGCAGAATCTTTATTTAAGGGGATCAGGGTGTCTTATCTTCATACAGCTTAGAAGAACAGCAGTTCTCAGGCTTTGTGGGGCCTCAGGATTCCTTTATTCTCTTAAACATTAATTAAGATTCTTAAGAGCTAAATATGTGCATTAGGTATCTTGCTATTTGCTAGGATGCACCTCGAGACCGTAACGTTAAGTGAAATAAATCAGACACGCGGGCTTAAATATTGCATTGTTTCTCTTACATAAGTGAAGAACCCCAAATATAAACAAAGAGCAGAGTAGAAGGGAGTAGGAAGTAGGGAGATAGATCGTCCTCAGGTGAGAAGGGGTCCAGGGATGGAGGGAGGGGTGTGTAGAGCAATCAAGCTGTTCTGTCCGTGTACCAACCTCCCACAAGGGATGGAAACATCCTGTTCTGCACACAGGGACTCAGAAAAAAAAAAAAAAGCGAAAGAATATATAAAATGAGTCAACCTTTTCAAATAGTCATTTAAAAAGAAGTGAAATACACCAGTTCCATGGTAATGGAAGTGACATATTTTTCAGAATAGCCACACTTTCCAAATTAAATTTTACAGATCTGCAAGCATTGTGTGCCTGTCTGGATGGAAAGGCAGCTATGTTCTCGCGCTCTGTGCTCTCTTATTTGGACAGCTTGTTTCGTTTGAGCTGTTTGATGGAAACTTGGCATCGTGTGAGGATTAGTTTGGGAACAGGTTATCTTAGTAGACTGTTCAGGTAATTTCTTTTTTACTGCGCTGAAACTCGATGAGTGGAGATGGGTGCTCCATCCCGGACGTCTTGCTGCTGCTTCTGCTGTGGTCCGTCCCAGTGCCTTAGCCTGTGGGTGGGTCCTGGGCCTGCCCGACTCTGCACCATAGTCCTCACCTTTCGTAACTTAGGAAACACAGGCTGACTGCAGAGCGAGGTCTCCAGTGTGGATGTGTCTGCCTGTGACGGCCTCACAACTCACCTGCTCCCTCGCCACCCGTCTACACAGCACCCGATCCTGGCTCCGTGTCAAGCTCACGGCGGTTGACGACCATTTTCCAAAACTTTAGTTTTCACTCGAAAACTCGCATTTTTCTTTTGGCTTCAAATACTCTCTGTGCTCTTCAGGGGTGCCCAGCTGACCCCGGCAGTGTTGGAGCAAAGCTCTGCCAAGTGCCCAGATCTTCCAACCTGGCGCTTGGGGCTCCAAGGAAGAGCCCTGGTGGGCTGATGGTCTTACAGTGTGAGCGGGTGATGGGACTCTCCCACCTCACCCCCCTGCATTGTACACCCACCTTACCCGCGTATGCCCTCCTCCCATACAGCAGAGA